CACCTATTCCGTATGTGGAAAGGAATTCTATTCCCTAGGAGGATTTAAACGGCATAAAGGAGTGCATCAACCTAATCTTCTATGTCAAAATTGTGGCCATTTTCTTTTTACAATGGGCAACCTACAAAGGCACAATTAACGATACCACTGCAGCATTTTTCTAAATTGAATAGGTAACTACTTGTCGTTTATCGCAGTTGCTGCGATAAACTTTCATATGAAAAGATTTTCAATTGGGACTTTAGCACATTTATGGCAGTTACTGATGTGATAATGGACGGAGTGGTAAAATACAAGCAATTAGCGTCTTTACAGCCCGATGAATTTAAATGATGTTGACAATGGTGATAATAATGTTATCACTGATGCATCAAAAAACTGAAAAATGTTGATAGAGAAGCGAATATTCTATTGCATTCTCTTCTACGTTTTCATCGGTTTTTTAACACAAGGGAAGAGGTATGAAAAAAAAGTACATCATTTGATCCACGAAAACCAAATGGCCACTGATCAATCACCCACTTCGTTTGACTCAATGAGTTTAAATGCAATTCATTTTAATTACAGTATGCATTTTAAAACTTACAATTAGTTTCATCCTTAAAATAGCTCATTGCTTCAATTAACTTTGATGTGATTTGTTTTCAGATAATGGATCAAATGCAAGCTATGCAGCATAAATTTGCAAATTTTAAATTACAATCGAATGCAGTCGCTACTCCATGGAGTGCAGTAATTGCGATACAAGAGAAGGCGAAAAACGACGCAAAATTGCTTGTCATTTATCGGTAATAAACATTTTGGTAATTTCATACATACAGTAGCAAGTGGACGGGATGAAACCTTTAGCATTCCAAAAAAAAAAAAACATTATTTTCACCCGATCCTTTCACTCAGGATTATCTTAAATGATATTTAAATAATGGACGTAAATTTCTTTATATTTAAAAATCATAATGAATATCATCTTATTCAAAAGTATTATGTTTAGGTCTTCACTGTCCTAGCTTTTTGATTTTTCACTCAAACTTCTCAGGTATGGTGCATTTTTACTCATATTGTTGATGGTACTATCCATTACTTTGAATGTAAGTGTCCATTGGGAAAAGTATCGACGTGAGGTTGTGCTAAAACAGTACTAATAGTTGTGCTAAAACACTACTAATAAACAATTCAATAAACCGAATAATGTCAATTCTAAATATGAAGGACAGAATTGTGACTGAAATTTCTAATTTCAGTTGAACCTTATAAAACATGACTAAAGCTCCTTAATCACATACTCCAGAATTTCACTATTCAATTTTAAATTTTTTCGACACATACCGATCACAACAATTATTGTCTCATCATAGCATACAGATATTTATCAGTTCGTTTGATCAGTTAATAGATTGAATGGAAAGATGTGATAATAATGCATGTATCGTTGAAATAGTGAGGAGAAGCAATGAATCAATAATTCCTTTGTTGTTAATTTGATATCGCTGGTTACAATATATTGTACGTTTTATATATATATATATATATATTGTTTTTCTTCTTTCACTATGTTAATTTCCTTTTTCTTTTTCTACTTTTTCCTGTAT